TTTTAGCGTTGTACGTCAAGAGTCTCTGAGTTATTGAGGCAAGAAAATCAATGGAACGCCAAATTAGCTGTTCCCAGTAAGTAAACACATTATTAGTTCTTTGTATGTAGTAAAAAACTAAAACGATTTTATGGAACATGTTGTTGTTTCTGGGTTAGTAAAATCACAATCTCACCTAATGGTGGCAATGTAATATGCTATATTACGTGTAGACAGAAGATATTATACTCTTCATTGTTGTCCGCATTAGATAGGGTGAAGTAAAACGTTTCGGGCATGTAGGTGGTAGGTATATTTACCACATAAGGGTGTGATTCCTGTTCACGTCAGGTTTCCCAGAGACGGAAAGTTGAAGGTAAAACTAATTACACAATTTCCAAATTACTGATTAATTGGTAACTTGCAGCCCACGTTCGAGATTCTGCATTTGTTCATCGGTAAAACTATTTCCAATAGGCAGGGAAGGCCCTACCCGGTAGGGCACTGGCAGCTGCAATTTAACATTGAGCTTGAACAGACTATAAAGTATTAAGCACAGCCATTTGGGTCGGGTGCACGAAAGGAGCCTCGCCGTACGACGTACTATTCATATTTTGTATGTCTGGCGCACCCTAGGCAACAATCACAAAACAATTAGCAATAACCTTACACCGATTGGCAAGTTCTTTCACCACGATGGCAAACATGTGCCACATTTCAGGACTGCAAGTCTATGCTATCGATAGGATAAGAAGAAGAAGCCGATTATCCCAACAGCAGCAGTTTCCTACTTATGTCTAATTCACTCTGCATCGCGATTTCGATATAGAGCCTGGAGATAAAGTGATAAAAAGTACGCTGAAGCTCACAAACATTGACTTCATCATCATCATCATCACGTGATCATAGAGGCTATACAGCTACTAGACAATACAAATGTGGTACGTAGACTACAAAGAACTAAACCTTTTGAGGTAGTGTAGTTATGTTATAGTGAATAAAATAAATATTAGTGCCAGAGTTAATATGAACACATAAACGACGACGTGTCCTTCCCTTAACTAATATTAAAAGATATTTTGTCAATGGACAATTTCTTTATATTTGAGTTAGTTGTTTATAGGAAATTCTGTAAAATTAAAATTGCTCATTAGTCTTGTAAAATGGCTAGATTATAATTAGTTATAAGGTTTTATTTTGCTTCATTACAAATGAAAACAAACCTTCATTGTTAAAAATATGTTCATTATTATGCTTTGTTGCCTCTTTTCAGTACCGGAAATATTTATCAATAGGTAGGCCGGCCCTTATTTTGGTAAGGATTTTGATAAGCCTCTGTTTACTCGTGGTTCAAAAATACAAGTCATCAAACGATATGTGCATTAAGCAGTTTTTCATGCATGTTCAATGTTATTGTGCATTGAATATACTGTATACTAATACAGTAATATTTATATGACTTTGCTGGCTTTAAATTTAAGTTTGCTAACAATTTAATTTTACTTCTCACACAGTGCAGTCTCAATCTTTTTTATATTTTTGCTTTTTCGAATTAAATCCGTGAGCCAGCTTTTAGTAAATACGTAAAAATATGTCCTCGTGTTTATTTTTTAAACAAATCCAAAGCCTATCCACACTGCGCTATTCACGCGCGATCCGATTCCCATTTTCTTCGCGGCTTCGCGTCGCGTTCGCGGCTCGTTCCCAATGTTGTCGGTATTTTGTCCCGTGACAATGGTTTCGTGAAGCGACTCAGTTGCCGATGAGTAAATGCCGCGGACGCTTGTGTTTTTGTTTTTATTGTTGACGATTTGAACGTGCTTAAAATGGCCGTGGATTGGAGAAATGAACTGGAACTGTCGTTTTTAGATTGTTCTAGCGTTTGTTTTTAATAACTTTTTTCTTTAGAAAAGCGTAATTATAAATCGCCAAAGCGCAAAGTAGGCCCACAGCAGCAACAGCAACTTCGGCGCCAACTTCGTCAAGCGCGCGACCTGTACTGTGAACCAGGCGCGAACCTCTTGTGTAGAACTGTGGCAGTTTTTGCCGCGATCCGCACCGCGATTCGCGCTGTGATTTCGCGCGTGAATCGTGTGCGAGTGTGGAGAGGCCTTAACAGATTTGTAACCTACCGATAACGTAACTTAAACAAACCTTCAGACTTTTATCGGTTGAAATCCTCTAAGGTTATTTTCTGTGTTACCCACTACTAATTATCGTATAGTTACGTCGCATGAAGAGGTCACACTTCAAGATTGATTCATTTATATATAGTTCGAGAGAGAAAATGATGATAAAAAATCCTTTTATCAGCATCGCCGTGGTCTTTGAGCGATTACCTTCGTCATTCATCATTTCAGAAAGATTAATCAACCAAGGTGATTAAAATTTACATGACTCCCAGTCACCTTGGTTGTGATGCACGCAAAGTACTAATACAACGATTTGTTACAGAATACCCATTTAAACAAACAATAACTTATAATATTTGCTTTATCGATCAACTATTTCTATTTGATAGCATCAAACAGCACTATTGAGGCGTAAAGATCAGGTCACTCGATGGATGTGCGTCTACACTAATTCAATGTTTTCAACTGTATATTATTGATTTGACATTGGTATTGTCGATCGTGATGAATTGCTACGCAGTACTTTACTACTACAATACTGTACCACTGAAGGCTGACGAGTTTCTTTTTAACCCTGAAATGATGACTCTATTGTTGACATTTGACATCAATATTCGTATTGTTAGTACCTAGAACGTAATTATTTCGATCCCTCCTACGTAAAGAATCGTGAGCCCAAATTCACATCTTAAAAGGGAAACATTTTAATGCAGGGTTCGAAGTGATAATTTTATCATGAGAATTATCACGATAATTGTCTTGATAAATATACCTTGATAGGGTTTGATTTAAATTGATGGAGAGCTGCATTGTGACAATATTAGAGTATATATAAAATGTATAAATAAATAAAATCGGCTTTATTTCACATGCAAAATACATAAATTACAAACAATAAATTATAGAAAATTTCATAATTGTTTTATGACTTTTTTAATTGTTTGATTCCTTCGTAACTGTTGGTAAGTCAACAGTTTAAAAATTAGTGTAATACAATACTTAAGGTAAGTACACTTTTCATCATTATGAAAATATAGGTAAATATATTTTCAGAATGTAGTGTAATGGAAAAAATGGAAAGGTACCTTTGTATGACTTTTAGTAAATTTACTGTGTACATTGGTACCTTCTGTAAAACAAAACATTAATTCAAAACTAAAAAGGTTTCATTTACGAAGAATTACACCATTTTTAAAAGTTTTAAGCATAGATAAGGTAACAGGTTTTCTAAATAATTTATAAGTTACAAATCGATATGCTTATTCATCAAATGTATGTAGTAAGGTCATTTGAATAATAAATCTGGCGTGATATAATTATACAAATGACAATGAATAGGCTCATGTTTGAAATACTACTCTGCATAAATGTTACACTAACGGCGATGTAAATCGCAAAATTTTGTCTAATTGGTTGTTATTATATAGAAGAAATTTGCCATAGAAAATAATAAAAGTAAGAAAAAGGACAAAGAAAATAAAGAAGAAAGAAAAGTTATAGGATTGGTTAGCCTACTAAGTTGCCAGGAGCCATTCTTCCAAGACACCGGCTGTAAAGCCTTCGTACACCGCACTGGATATCTTTTCTTTTTTTTATCATACCATAATAAAGGGACGAACAAGTGCTCCTGGTGGTAAGCGACACGCATGTCCTGCCTTGCAGTGCCGCTCAGAGCTTTAAACCGCAGATATTCAAGGGGCACTGCCACTGCGCCCGCCACCTTGAGACATAAGATGAAAGTCCCATGTGCCTGTAATTTCACCACCACACTAGACCTTCAAAACCGAAACGCAGTAATGGTCACATTACTGTTTGGCAGTACAAGGTAAGGCGGCTGTACTTGCCTGGACGAACTCTTTCACAAGGAGCTCTACTACTATACTATCTCTCTCTCTTTTTCTCGTATTTCCTGATGGCATGACTCTGTTCATGAGCCACAGGTGGAGGAACTACATGTGGCTTTTCAGCATGTTGTTATGGTCGAGCCCTTCAAGCTAAAAATAATTGACATTCAATAAAACTTAATGGTAACAATATTTGGTGGATATCAACAATCTTGTCTACGTATTATAACTGACATGAAAGTTAAGTTATTCATATAAATAATTATATCTCATAACATACTCATAACATAACATAATAATCTTGTGAACAAGGAATACTACTTGTTCACAAGATTTTTTTCAATCGAGTCTGTTGACGAACCAGGACAACGGTTTGCACTGTGGACGCTGGACGATAAGGTCCCGGGTTCGACTCCGGGTAGGACCAATTTAGGATAACCTAGTTTTCTGAATTGGTTCTGGTGTTCTGCGTAGTGCCTCGCAGTGAATAATACAGAAAATTCTCTAGTTTGAGACCACGTAATTAGAGTGGTTAAGAGCCACTCAGAGCTTCAAATCACAAAGACCTAAGGGGCAAGGCCAGTGCACCCATCACTACAAGACGTAAGTTGACAAGTCCCATGTGCCCGTAATTTCACCAGCACCCTTACCCTTCCAAACTGGAACGCAGTAATGCTCACATTACTACGTGGTGGCAGTAATAGGTATAAGGTGGCAGTACTTCCCTGGACGAACTCTTTCACAAGGAGCTCTATACATTTAACAGCAGAAAATTACAGGCACATGGGACTTGTCAACTGATGTTTCAAGGCGACCGACGCAGCGGCAGTAACCCTAACATCTTTGCGATATAAAGCGCTGGGTGGCACTGCAACTGTTATGGATAGGCGTGTCGCTTACTACCAGGTGCACGACTTGTTTTTTCCGTCACTTGGTATTATAAAATAAACACTTTTCGTAAATATTGGTGAAGTAATAAAAAAAATAGTAATTGAGAAATGCACAATTTATTATATTCTTTAGTAGTTTTCATAATTCTATATCGGTAATATCATTGTTCATTTAACAAAGGATTATTTTTGTTTCACGAACTTTATTGTTCTTAAAGCCATACTAATATAAAACTGTCCTTATGTTTAAAAAAAAGTAGGTTACAAATGAATTATATACGTAAAATCCTGAACTGAAAAAAAATGTGAACTTATTATACCTACTGCAATGAAGAAATAATAGAATGACAAAATAAAAGTATAAAAATACGGACATACGTTAGCCTCGATTCCAAAACTCGTCACCAGTGGACCCCCCAGAATTTGATCTAGGTGGCGAACCCGTACAAGACCATTATTCATTTAATTCGTAGTGGAGCCTTCTGAGACGTCGTGCTATTACGATAAACTAATCTTCAGTTTGAAGTATACCTAGATACGAATTGGCATCCGATCTCGAGGATTGAAATCCCTGTTTTTCTGTAAACTGGGTAGTAGTTAGGTATGGGGGGTATCTTCTCACTACATGTAGTTTGGTGTGCAAGTAACAGTTAAACGTTATTTCATACGGCGTAGACTCCGAACGTCAATGGCTGTTTCTACTGCACAAGGGTAGCACTCTCCCCATTTAATTTCTTCTCGATCGTTTGTATAAAACGATCTGCTTCTCAGTTTGTAGCAGGGTGATAAGGGGCTGAAGTTATGTGGACGATTCTGTTTGATGTTAAGAATTGATAGTCAGATTTAAAAAAAATACAAAAGTAGTCTTGTTATGCTATATTCTGGCCAATTGTACCAAAATTTACTCTCTATGCATATTGATGGCTTTAGCATATGTAATGTATTATGTTTGTATTTATTAAATCTATTGATTCTTACTTAGTAAAGAAACGTAAGTCGTAATAGTTACAACGGAATGCAAGTAACTCGACATACTAATTATGTATGTAAGCCACGTGTAACTCGACGACTCGCTATATTTAGACGGGTCTAAAGAAATCGCAGCTCAGTGAGACAACATTTTAATGCCTCATTTTTCATTCATTTCCAAACATTGTTCGAAAATAAGCTTTGTGTCATTATGAAGTTATGAACCAAAAGGTACGCAGAATTTAAAGCACAGACTGAAAAAAGTTAATCGTTTTTATTCCTCCTAAATTGCGTTTAGAAATTCAAATTCAAATCATGTTTATTTCATAGGTAAGCAAATTACACTTGAAGTAGTCATATTAATTAAGCTCTACTGCTCATATTAATTAAATTCTACTGCTCATTCGTAAAGGCGGCTTCCCACGACCCGTCTCTCCACGGGCCGTGCGGCGCGAGCTGGCGCCAACGCGCCGTGGGAAGCGAGACGTCCGAGCGCGCCCGTGGTCGTCCGTAGTTGCCTGTTTTTGGATTTGTCACGCGTTGGTAACTTGAAAAGCGCGAGCTCGCGCTACGCGCCGTGGTAGGAGATGCGTCCGGGTGCGCCCGTTGTCACCCGTGGCGGTCAGTTAAGATCTGCAGAGTGTCGTTAACTTCTTCTTCAAAGGCGCGAGAGTGCGAACCGGAGTGGCGCGTGCGCGCGCGTTTCGAGTTCATGGTGTTCACACATTCAAAATCCTTGCAAAGGTCGCAGAATACACAGAACATCGTTATCAATTATCAATGTTAGAATATATCTCTTTATTTGCATGAAAAAGGTAACGAATTATCAAGATAAACTGGATTATAAGTATTTTCGAAAATTAAATTCAGTCAAGAAGTAGAAAAAAAATAACATTCAAAGCCAAAAACACTTTTAATCTAACAAGAATATACAAACTTACTTAGACGTTTTACAAATGAGATTGCACCTTCCCATTATTTTTCATTTACTTGCCCATGCGTTGTATGGACCACTCTTGCTGGCACAACGGGCAACGGTTATTCTGTTTCACCCATAGAGACATGCAGCAGAAATGGAAGCTGTGGTTGCATTCGCCCCACACTACCACGCAATCTTGTTTACCATAGGAATCTTTCTTGCTTTCGCCTTGACAACGAAGGCAGGCATCTGAAAAGAACACATGTGTATTAGATCAGAGAAAGAACTATTTTATCACTTAAATTCGGGCAGCAACTTATAACACACTAAACAATTCGTTAATAATTCAGTTATTAAATTCTGTACACAAAGCAATATACTTTCGTTTAAAAGTACAGTTCGAGAAAAGTAATATCGTTTCTTAGGGTCGTATTCTAGAACTCTACTCAATGCTCAAGTCAGGATTTGAGTATGGTTTAAAGCACTCGAAATCATACTCAAGTACCTGCCATTAGGGTCGTATTTCCAGTGCTTGTGTTTCCTTTGATTTTGTTTATGTTGAGAAATTAAAAATATTGTATATAAAATTTTGAAATTCTGATCCTTTTGGGTTACTGAGAAATTTTAGAATAAAGATGACAAGCGTCACACGCTTGGGACTGTGGAAGGAAAAGCGTACATGCCAGTTGCGACCGTAGAGCAGAAGCTGGCTATGAGGCGTAAATCGTGACAGAGAGTAGGTCGTAAGGTAGTCGGTTATTAGGATTGAGAATTAAGTAACATAAATTATGCTCACAGCCCTACCAGTCTACGCCAGATTTAAATAACCCGGTTTTGCCACCCTGTCAAAACCAAATGGTAAACAGTCCGTCTTATATACAAAATGGTTATTAAATTCACAATAACATACGACAAATAAGCATACGTACTTGCAAAAGCCAACAGGTAAAAGTTAAGAAAGTACGAATGGTTTAGTCTTAGAAAACTAACCAACTGCGCAAGAATTAACTCCGTCCATTCTCCGAATAAACCGTCTCTGTGACCGAATAGTTTCCATCCTCGTCTGCTACGCAGTAGTCCCGAGTTCGATTTCCGGGCCGGGAGAAATATTTGTATGGCCTACAATTATTTCTCTCGTGAGTTTAGGTGTAATTTGTGGTGTCTATGTGTGAGTCCATAGCACCCGCGACACAGAGGTTGGGATTATTATTAACTAAACTGAAGAAAAGAAACATACAAGAGATATTGGAGGAGAAAATCACTAAACCGATAAAATATTCGAGGCTTCGCCACTTAAGCACGTCCACAGAAGGAAAGATTTCACACTCACACGCATCACGAAAACTAAGGAATACAAAACAATTTCCCCTGAACGAGTACCTTAAGCCAAATAAGTTTCATTAAATAAACAAGCTGAGCGTTCCCAACTTCGTATCAAAGAGTTATTTCATCGTCATTGTGGACATTTCACATGCCAATAAAAGAATGTCACGGTTGTTACATTTGTTTGACTTACGAGTGTAGGGTCTACAATATGACTTGTCTACCTCTCGGTATTTCAAGTCCCTAACCTTTTCGAGAATAAGAAATCGGAAATAAAAAAAGAAAATCAAGGTCGCTAATATACTTCTACGATTTTTTTGCTAGTATTTAGATCAAAATCCACGAATAGTGTAGACAACAATCATCCATTTGATACACAATAAAATAAATCGTATTAGCCATTGATCATAACAAATAGAATTTCAAATATTGTAATTTATTATACCAAAAAGATGAGAGAATCTGTGATGTCTTTCTACAGAGCGTACCAAGGTTAGGTTGGGTCATAAAATAATAAAAAAACTAAAGAATCGGCCAATGATTTGTGATCAACGGTTTGTTTACACGTGGTTTGAAAGTTTTCTAAAACAAACCTTTGTCGCAACAACCGAATGCTCAACACTGCAATTGTAAGAAAACAAATGTAATATGTAATATATTATAGTGCCACTATAAAATAACGTCACCATTTACGTAGGAATTAAATTAATTAAGAGCTGTTGGTTTCACGAGGCGATAAGGCAAATAATGGGGAAAACAAAAAAGTATTGCAAGTGGCAATAGACGTTAAAAAATAAAGTAAGTGAATTGTTAACAACATCAATTGTGACACAAACACAACGCAAAGAAATAAGAAATAACATTATACGGGCTTCTAATTAGTTCGATAAGTAAACTGTAGCAAAATGAGGAAGACTAATATTAGTTAAGATATGCAATGCAATCAGTAATTGTGTGGCCATGATCACGCAGTATTGTTGTAGCTAATTCCTCCATGTAATAATGTTAATAATTCGCCGAGTCCTTCCTCTAGGCCGTGCTCATACGGGTCTATAAATTATTTATATGAAAATCCTCCGTTCCGACAAATGCGAAATTTATGCGCTTCAGCGCTTACCTACGATAAAGTTATGGTTTTATCGTTATCAACGTTTCCATCGAAAGCTTTCTACAATTCATGTAAAAGTAATGCCAGTTTTATCTAATAATATGAGATTACTGTGTATCTGATAATTAAGTACATAGCATAATATGACGTGACTCTCTACATGTATGTGATCGTAACGGAGAGCGGAAGGAGCGTAAAATTTGTAATTTTTCCATGATCACCTTGCAAAAAATTTGGAGCATTAGCTTTCGAGACTTTCTACGCAGTTGTAATCAGCAGGTTAGATAAACAACATATTTCGTTAATTATGAATATTAATATGCAAGCGCCGGATACTTGTCAAATTCTCGAAAGACACGTTGGTTTGGTTTCCCCCCTTGCGACAAACTCGCTAAAACTTTTTCATAAAGTTTTGCTTCAGCTATCAAACTTCCCCAATACAGCGACCCCTTTCGTAGAATTTAGCGCAATTCATTCAACACATATGCAAAGTAATCTGAAATAGATGCTCAGCGCATTTAGTTTCATGTTTCTATTTAACTTTTCAGTTTTTAACCCACCACCTGCACATTCATTCATTATACCTATTGATTTGTCTAGCTTACTGTTCTTTATGTTATTAGTATTACATACCTAAAGTTTTCAACCAGAAGTTTAACTACTTGTAATCGCAACATTTACTTTACCTATATTCATGCGCAACAGCACGAAAGATTGATGATGTCCTGCAGGATACACGATGACTGAATTGGTATGCACTTCTGTTATACCGGTACTTTTGACAAAAATACAAGATACAATTATTTGAAGATCCCAACGAAGGACTAAACCCCAGAGAGGTCCGAGTCTTCACTGATGGATCTAAAACAAACTCAGGAACAGGTACTGGGGTATTCTCAGAAGACCTCAATATCAGGATATCAGAACCGCTTAGTGACCACAACACAGTATTCCAGGCTGAATGTATGGGCATCAAGTTGGCGGCAGAAGCAATCATAGCGAGAAGAGTAAAGAACTACTCCATTCGAATACTCTCCGGCAGCATGTCAGTACTTCAAGCACTGAATAGCTATAACATAAACTCAGGGCTCATTTACGAATGCCATCAAGCACTCATGGAGGTATGTATACAAAACCACGTAACTCTTCAGTGGATTAAAGGACACAGCGGCTCACGTGGCAATGATGCAGCAGATGAACTAGCCAGGAAAGGGTCGGAGACGGACGCTGTAGGACCAGAACCGATAGTGTCCCTCCCCTGCCAATGGTCCAGAACAACTATACACAAAGGTACAAAATCTTCACATAATAATACATGGACCACCCTTACGGTTTGTAGACAGGCGAGGGAAGCACTCCCAACGCTCAATGCCAGTCTATCTCGAATACTAATTAAACTTAAAAGGCAAGAGCTTCGCACTCTAACTGCCGCCCTAACGGGTCATGGTCCATACAATAAACACCTTGGACCCTGCACCCACCACACGCAAAATAGGCGCTTTGTCGTCGAGTTGCGGATACCAGCCCGTTGCACCAAGTACCAAGTATACCGGTACTAAAGATGAGAGGTGTGGTACGTGAAAAATATTTTGACCAATGCAATGTCTAATAATAATAAATCTCAAGGAAGCGGTGGAGCCGCCCGCCCACAATCAAGATCAATCACAGATGTCTGCGTCACGCAAATTGCAACTCTAATAGCGTCCAATTTGCAATGTCAACTTCTATTCAATCAACTTTTGTATAAGTGTAGTCTTGTTTGCGTCATCAAAACAATGAGGTATTTACTTTACTAAAATGCATGTTGTAGTTTATAAAGAGCCAGTAAAATTTTATATAGGTAGGTAATTTTCCAGAGATTTAAGCACTGAATATGGTATCCAAATATATATTGTATATGGGTGATTTTTATGATGTCATAAACATTTTAGTACATATAGCGATAATTTTTATAACACTCGTACTCGTACTACATGAACTCATTGGTTAAACATTGGTACTGAAAAACTTTATCTTTAGGAATACAATTTTTGTGCTCAAGCGCAATTTATGTTGACCAGATTTTAACTAGCCAGCTGTTTATAAAACGACATCGCTTTTGCTAATATTGGGAATGTGTTATGTTTGTACGATTATACAAATTTACTCAGGGCAGGGTGGAGTTAGAAAAACAGAAATTAAGAAATAGGTAAATACCATTATTTTCTCAAGTAGAAAGTTTTACTTTAAATCCAAAAACATGTTTTTAAGTGGTATTTCACCAAAAGTACCAGTAAAATATATATAAAATAATATTTATATAACACATCAAAAATAAATTTGTAGGCATTGATATAATTGTAAGTCAATGTTTGTAGGATTATTTTCTTAATGCATATGCAAAGACTGATGTGATTCTGTAATTAAAACTATGATCAACGTGTCGCACTAAAATTTTCCGAACATGCCATGTTCATCGTATAGGCAAACAATTATGTCACCAAACAAACAACTAGAGTCATTCTTGTTGACATTAAATGAACTTGTGTGCGTATATTTTGCTTAAACTATTATCATACCATTGTTTTGTGACATTTTCCGTGACTATTGCTGTAAAACATACCAGAAAGAAAACGCGAAAGATTGCTTTCTAATGCTTCGTTTATTGAATAATTATACTCCTTATTAATTTACAATTATTACCCTGCTTTCAGTCATACATATCGGACCAATAATTTTATTAAATTGATCATACTTCGTGTTTATGCTTTAAAAAAAATACAGTAACAGGAAAAGTAGGACACGATAAAAAACAAATGTAAATGTCGTTTCTAGACAT